CCATCCTTCCCTCACGTAATAATAATTGTCTTAAAAAGTGCAAAATGTTCGTAACGCTGCTCCTTGGTTTATTGCTCAGCCAGCTCTGGCATGAAAGTGAGCAAGAAAGATGTTTGAAGGGTAGAAGAAAACATTACCAGCAAAATAAAAGATGAGGAGAGGTGAAGAGTTTGTTTCTGACTGCTCACATGTTTTTAAATGTTCCTGTTTTTAATGTTGGTTGGTTGGTTGGTTGGTTGGATGGATGGATGGATGGATGGATGGATGGATGGATGGATGGATGAATGGATGGATGGATGGATGGATGGATGGTTGGATAGATGGTAAGAAACTCTGCTGACATTTTTTAAAATGTTACTGAAATTACAACTGTTCTGCCTGCTTATTTGCTTCTTTGACATTTGAAAAATAAATGTCACATCAAACTTTCTTGCACACCAGCTTGAGGCGAAAGGAAAACAACAACACAACAGCTTGATGTTGTTCATTACCGTGGTGGAAATATACTTTCCACAATGTAGAAGCTATACATCTTTAGTGTATGCCCATCATGATTTAAGTTTGTCAGAACTATAATCCCCAGGCCCTCTGCTGATAAATCACAATATCTGTTTTGTTTCACTCTCTGGGGTGACTTAAAATGGTGGAATACATGGTAGAAATACCCCCCCCCCCCCCACACACACCCCCCCCCCACCCCACACACACACACACCACCCCACCCCTGTGCACCAACATTCAGCTACAGGGATCACACACTGTACTGGAACATAAGAAGCCAGCTAACACTGTTGCCATGACAACCCAGCCAGAGGATAACTGTTTTACAGCATATTACACCACCCACCACCTTGGCTGCCTCAGAAATGTGCTGCTTTGGGAGTCACTCAGGCTCACCAATGGTAGTGATTACTTCAAGACAATTCTTCCTCCTAGAAGAAGTGACCAAAATCAGCAATGAACATCGTGACTACCTTATTGTTACATATGTGGGTTATCTACCTGTTTTGGAACTTTATACTTTTGGAACTTAAAATTAATATATGCAATTTTCGGGTACTGACCCTGGATTGTATCAAAGGCCCGTTGACTTTACAGCACTGAGACTTGCACTTGAGTTCCATGCTATACAACAATAATTATAACATACGAGACAGACATACAGACATTGGAGGTTACATTTTTACCATCAATTTTGGATATTTGAAATGTTCTCTAATTAAAGGCCAAGTTAACACATTTTGTCAGCACATTTGCAGTGGTCTCTAATGTAAATGAAGGCCTTTTGAGTCAATCTATGTGGGAAAAAGCTCTGGCACTCCTGTTTCAGGAAGTATAAGTTAGTCAGAGTAGAAGGGAGTAGCAGATGGCAGGTTTTGGAGTCTTCTGTCCTGATATTCAGACATCTCACCTCTGATTGGCTAACAGCAGCACAACTCTATCACTGGCATTTTTTGCTCGGCAACATTGTTTTATCTCCACAAATAACACAAGCTTCGAGGAGTTCTGCCATGTTGTGGAGTTGGTACTGAGTCATGCTTCTGTGTCTGCGTCAGTGCGGAGACATGCGACGCCATTATACGTCCTTGTGGGCCTGCTGGAGACCCCCCGCAAGGATGGACGGAGTCAAGCTCTCTTTTCTAAACATCCATCCGTCGAGACGGAGAACACAAGCTTGTTATTGGTCAGGGTACCACTGTCATCTACAACGCCACCATTGCACCCTCAAAAAGATAAAGACAGCCGTGGATATCTAGACACGGAAACGCGGAGAAGCTTGAAGAATACCTCACGAAAATACGCTAAAAACATGAACGTTTAATTCCCCTGTGACTGGAGGAGTGAAAAGATATGCAGCAAGCATTTTATTTGTGGATGGAAATGACAGGAAACCTGGGTTTAGAGGTGGCGAGCACATGAAAAGGTGGAGGAGAATGAGAGACAAATTTGTCTGTGTTAAAATGTCTCATATACAAAAAAACACAATATAAACACACTATCTTGGACCGGATACATGACAGGATACCACAGAACAGCGCTACACCCTCTGTTGTCCTGGCAGGGAACTGCTTGGCAACACTCCCCAGGAGACGGAGAAGTATGAGGGCAAAACATTTCCCTCTGTCCGTGCGTGTCTCTCCCTTTTGAAGCTGACGGAGAAGCATGACTCAGGCTTAACAGTTAGCTTCTACTAGCTGAGACGATCTCTGCTGTTTGCTGAAATAACAGCCTTCCCAGTGACAAGTCAAGACGGATGAGTCCATGACTGCTAATTTGACAATGGGACGAGCAATTGACTGAATTTTCTACTCTGAGTGTTACTCCCATCTATTTTTGGTGGCTAATACAGGAGATGGGGTAGAAGACCATTTCTATGTTTAGCCTGAAACCTTAGCCTAGAGTGACTGATCTATTTAAAAAAATAACACGTAAAAAATTGTTTCTCAGTGAATTTAAATACCTTACATTGTTTAAAGGTTGAATATGGATCTCTTTATTAAAAAGCAAAAATTTGTAGTGATACTTCCTCCACAGAGCGTTTAAAGGTGCGCAGAATGAAGGTATGGTCTTTCCTTCTAAAGCTATATTTTAAATAAAAAATAATCAAATATTTATTTTGACAAACAGGACACTGGGTTTATGTTTACATCTACCATCCAATAGATGGCACCACTGAGGGTTGCCTAACAGTCCGTTTTGCACAACAAGGCTGGCGGCACTGTGGAAAATGGCGGACTCTGCAAGTCAAGCAGCTGTTTCTGAGCCCAGAAGATGTCGTTACTCTTCTCTGAATAGTCATGGCCATATAAGAGTGAGTTTAGGTGAAGCCTACAACAGATAGACCCAAAAAATTGTTTTGCATATTGGCAGCAAACCTGGTATCCCGACGGCCGGAAATCTTGTTTTGTTGTTGCAACTACAACCTCCACACACTAGATGTCTCTTTGGTGCTCATTTTCCTTATCCCAAAATACCTCCATTTAAACAAATCATATTAAACTTCATTTGGGAAATTTTATCCTGTCAGTTTTTTCACAATTGTTGCCATGTTTATATCAGTGAGTTAATGCAAGCTTTAGACCTGCAGCCTCTTTGCTCAGTGTCATTTCTGAATTATGAATGCCTTTTAAAGAGGCCAGGGATGATATTAGTTAATAAAATTGAACATGAAACATTGTCCTTGGTGTGCTACTGACATCTCCTATATGAGGAGGCAGATCCAGGCCATCCCCTGTTTACCTTCTGTCATCATCAGCTTTAGTCCAGAAATAACAGTATCACAACAGCCACTGACAATAACCAATGCAACACTGGATGAAAGGAGGAAGACCGTACTTGTGTCACACAGGCTGATTGCTCAGACAGCTGCAGATACATTTTAGTTACACACTCTACTGTGCAATGATTGGCTGAACTAATGGTCTGTAGTCACTTTTGATTTCATAAATGTGGTGCGGCTGATTGGTGGAATCATGACATTGCTTGTTTGGCTTGCAATGCAATTTAATTCAAGTTGTTTCTTTTCAGATGAAGCAATAATGTATTGAAGCTTGGTTTAACAAAAGCAGCATCACATTTTGGGGGTTTAACTTACCAGAAATTTTTATAAAATCTAAAATTTAGAAGGAATATAAGACTTATTGCATAGAAAATACTACTTTTTTGCATTGCTGAGGGATTACAGTTTCTCAAAAAAAAAATCTGTTATAGATGCCTCTTTGAACAGAGAACCAGATTCGATCTGACCAGATTGTTAAACTAACAGCAATAGGACCAAGATCAAAGTGGACTGACAGCCTTGAAACAACTTCACTCAAAAAAAATAAATAAATAAATAAATAAATAAATAAATAATAAATAAATAAAAACGGTAACCCTAAATAAATAGCAAAAGAATTCATGAAAATTGTTCTTTAAAAACGTCTACCTTAATCCTAAGCCTAACCTTCATAGATGGTCCATACCCTAGATAGTGGCAGCATTAGTATACTGCAGTTGACAGCAATCTTAGCGCTACTTGGGCCGGTGTCGGTACAGGATCTGCTCGGGTGCAGGATCTGCTCGGGGTCCTTCGACTGCCGATGACGTCACATTACTGCAAATCTACTCGGCTTTCACACATACGTTTTGGAAAGAAATCAGCAAATTTGTTAATAAATTCTTGTTTGTTAACATCTAAATGTTTTCTTTACAATTGTAATTTGTTAATCAAACACCATATTATCTTTGTTTTGTAAAGAATGTGAAACTGCATAAAACCAACATCGGACAGACAAAAAACAGAACAGTTCTTATATGTGAAGCCACATCTGTTTGTATTAATGTGGAATTTGTCTGTATATTTCCTTAGTTGTTATCTAAATACATTCTTTGACTCAAAATATTGCTTGGTGTCTTTCAATAAAGTTCTTATATTTTATATTGCCCCATCTCATCAACATCAAGAGCTTTTGAGGTCACTGTTCATCATTTGCTTATATTTTACATTTCCTTTGGAAATTCAAACATATTTTCTCCAAAAAAAGAGTTGATTTTTGGACTACAGGACTACAACCGCTAAGACTACGATCACAAATTTGTTCTGACCAATCAAATTCATAACGTGATAACATCACTTCCGTAAGCTTCATGTTCAGCCAATCAACTACTTTGATGTCATCGGCAGTCAAAGGACCCCGAGCCTATCCTGCACCCGAGCAGATCCTGTACCGACACCGGCTGTTAGCACACCAAACTGAAGCTAGTCCAATAGCTCCTTGAGCCTTTAGAACCCAAACCATTTTAATTAGAAAACTGATTGGAATAAATGCATCAAAATGTAGAAAATAAAATAAAATAAAGAAGTAAATATATTTTGATATATGTTTGAATAGAATGTCACTTTGGTTTTCAAACTTGAATATTTGACACAAGAAGCAATTTTGCAGATGTTTGAAATGGGTTGTGACACCACAGATCCTTAAGGGTTGTGTAAATACCTCTGAAGGAACGAAACACAGTAGAGATAACAAGAAATCAGTAACTTTTATTTAGAAATAGTCCCAAAAAATAAAGAAAGTTAGCACACATTCCAAATACAAAATATCAGTGAAGAGCCTGGATATGCAATGAAAATTGATTAGCAACTATGTCATGTTTCTATTGTTAATTTCATTAAACAACTGTGATAATAATAATAATAATAATAATAATAATAATAATAATAATAATAATATAAATAATAATAATTATTATTAATATTATAATAATACAAGTTATGACTGCTGGTTGCAGTCAACATAAGAATAATTTTGACGGGGACGGACAAAAATACACTCATTTGTAAAATCGCAGCTCACAGTGAGATAGCTCAACTAAAACTAAATATTTTATTCAGGAAAAAGTTAATTTAATTTAGCAAAGCTATTCTCAAAAGGGGATATATTTTTCCATGTTATCGCATTTATATAAAATGTATGTTTTATGTTTATATATATATTGTGTATATCTATGTATATATACTTTATATTGAAAATCCAATTTTCAAACTGTTAACCTCACAGTATCAACATTAAAATGATAACCCAGTTTTGGCAGTAATTAAATAAACCCATTTTGTATTTGCAGCAACAACATGCAAGTGATGCTACTACGTTGTCAGATCAATGCAAAATACATGGAGACTGGAAAACAAAGCAAAAAGGCTATTGTTATTAGCATTGTCATTGCCACCAACTGTACACCTAGATACAAAAGTTATAGAATGTATCAGAATCATTTACATTCACTGAGATGACAGTGATTTATTATAATAAGAATATATTTATATCTACTGGCACTGGAATTTGGCACTCGTACCTTTTTGGCCTTTTGAACCATCACCTAAGCCATGTGGATGCCTCACTTTTATGACGGTTCAAAAGGTAATGCAATAATACCATATCATACTATTCATTGTTTTCCATTCATAGCATGTAAACAGATTTGTTTCCTCTTGAACATAGAGCAATGACTCTAATCCTCATTGGAAAATATACAAACAGCAAAAGCACTGAAGCAAACCAAGAGTCAAAGAATAAAGTAAAATGTCTGCACCAAATCTAACAAGATAATAAAACAGAGGATTAATTGAAAATGCCAAGCATTGACATATAGTTCATATCAACACCAAATGCCAAAGAATAAAATATACAGGAAAATTTTTAATAGGAATTAATTACATGATTTTAAGATGTCACCCCTTAATGTATTTGGCTTAAAAATATGGAACTAAAAGCTGTTTAGATTTTTTTTTCTCTTTCTTTATTCTCACATATTAAGATGTTTATAACCAACCAGTATGTAAGCAATTTTATTTAAAAGCTATTTTGTGAAAATACATAAAAATGCATTTTTTTCATAGTTTTGTTATTTGCAAATTTTCTTAGAAAAAAATGAAAATTTCACATCTTAATGCAGATGATATCAAGTGTGCTTGAAATTCCTGTTTGGCAATGGTGGCAACAGAAACAATGTGTTTGTGACATCTTCCATTCACATACACACACCAACACACATTCATACACACTCATGCTTTTCACCCAATAAAAACACAGCTGAGATGACTGAATCTCTGACTCTCAGAAGATACCTCAGCTGTCAGTCAAGCCCTTTCTCCAGGTCTCAGTCCAGGCCACGCAGATAGGAAATCAGCAGTTCAAAAACACGAGCCACCTTTGATAATCCAAGATGGAACTACTCTCATAAAGGGAGGTGTTTTCATGTGGTGGAGAATGGAGTCAAGGGAGCAACAATACAAGTCTTTGTGACAAAGAAAGTGAAGGCCCACATCTCCTATTTTTAACTTTTCACCAGACATTAAAAAAATCAGTCAGAACAGAAGAAGAGAAGGGCAGAGAAAGGAATCTCTCTATTGAAACCATTGTAAGGCACTCAGGAGTTTCTCGTGGATCAGGATAGATCTGTCAGGCTGACGTTTAGTCCCATGTCAGGTCTCACGTAAGGGACAGCATGGACAGCTTTAGGAAACTCTGGAGTCATCACCCGACCATTCTCCCCAGTACTCCCTGTGACGGAAAGTCTTGCTTTATTCCTCATGGCATCCCCAAAGGTCATCTATAGAAACACACAAGTCACATGTACAACCAGACACAAACAATCATGGCCACATTCACGCGCACATACAAGGATCCATACACAAACAAGAAAGCAGCATGTTAGATTGGTGATATCACATCAACAGGCTTAAAAGATTTTAAAATGTATAAA